TGCAATACAATATTTAAATGTTCTATTTCTTGCTTTATAATTTCTAGCTTACCTTGATTCATACTTCTCACATTTCATGTATTGTTCAGCACTGAACTTCTCTGTGCACCAGCCTTTTGGCTTTAATCTAATTGCATTATTAGTGACAGCACTATCTGAACATGTCCTTTGCTGTTTCCCAGTAGCTGACTTACTGCTTTCCAACCTAGGGGACTCATCTTCTAGTACTATATTTTGTTTCATTTTGGACTATTTCATCATAAGGTTTTTGAGGTAAGAAAGGCTGCAGTAGTTTATCATTGCTTTCTTCCGTGCAGTATGAAGCACAGTTAGAGAAGGCCGAGTCAACCTTGAGCCGGCTACCTGGGATTTGAACCCCAGGTCGTGAGCACAGTTTTAGCTGCAGTACAGCGATTTAACCACTGCGCCACGGAGTCCACAAACTATTTACAAAGGGGTTTGTCATCTCTGGGTTCCAGGGTCCTGTTAGAGGTGGCACAGGTCCCTGGCACAGTTAGCTTGCGTAAGACTACCATTGACTGTAAAATATCCTCTGCCAGGAGCCCAAGCAGGTCCCTTTTGCCTCCATCTCCACCGGAACTACCCATTCTATTCTTCTGATCCAGTTGTTACTTCTGAAGAGGGTGGATGCCTCTTAGTCTCATGCCTCAGCCATGCATATTCCACCTTGGGTGAACCTGCTGGGAGTCCAAGCTCACTTGCGTAAGACTACCATTGACTGTAAAATATCCTCTGCCAGGAGCCCAAGCAGGTCCCTTTTGCCTCCATCTCCACCGGAACTACCCATTCTATTCTTCTGATCCAGTTGTTACTTCTGAAGAGGGTGGATGCCTCTTAGTCTCATGCCTCAGCCATGCATATTCCACCTTGGGTGAACCTGCTGGGAGTCCAAGCTCATAATGGAGCCTAATCTCCTGACAGCATTGCTCTTGAATTCTCTAGACAAATTGAACCCCTTCAACATGTTACGGTGTGCATCAAAAAAGGGGTTCTTCTCACTGTTTCTACAATTGTGTCTCCATTTGGTCATGCTTGTTGATTATACTACCTTTCAATGCATCATCCTCTTCCAATTCTTCTTCGGTAGATCTCCATTAACTTTTTCACTCCCTGTATATTATTTCTAGGAGGATTCAAGTTTGGGTTCTCCTGGCTTTATTTATACACTTGACACAGGTCCCTTCATTCTTATCAGCTGGGGGGAAAATCCCAGGAAACTGCCTGAAGACATTATAAACAGACTAAAATTTAAGCACATACATATGATACATGTGCCTTTGTTTTACATCAAAGAGGGGCACATTGGTTAGAAGAGCTAACACTTAAAGTTTTTTTCTCATGGCCCTTTGGTCCATATGTTTTTCTTCCAATGCAGACTGCTTTTATTAATGAGAAAAATTTAGGTGGAAGACCAGATGAAGGAGAGATCAGGTTTCTTGACCTACTACACTCCTCTCCATGTTAAATGGGAGGGATCTGTTTTGTATGAAGTGAAAGGAGGCCAAATCTGTGTAACACTGAAAAATGCAAGTGAAAACTCGGGTGACTGAACACTCTTGTCATACATCGCACCATCTGCCTCCAACGCTTTAATTTACAAATACTTTTGCGGGCATACTACTGTCTAGCGTGGAAGGAGCGCACGGCAGTTATGGCTGAGGTTTTGCACGAAGGAACCTCCAGTCACAAGGACCCCAACTGCACACTGAGGTCGACCCCCCTCAGCCCGGGGAGGAAAAGAGAGGAGCCCTTCTAGCTTAGCTGCACCCTCTTTTTTTGGCGCCCAGGAGGAACAAGGGCTGGAGTGGAGGGCGGGAAATGAACGGAAGCGACTGCAAAAGGTAGCAGGTCCAGGCTAACCCTTCCGCCTCCATGAAGACGGAGACTCTAGGAATGAACGCCGAAGGCGAAAGGTTACCGAAAATGATAAAGCTGGACCTCTCGTCCCACCGAGAGACACAATCTGACTGACCTGTGAGGCGCCCCGGTTAATATCTTTAGCCGGCGAAGGCCCTCCGAGGTTGCGTCACGGAAGCTCCGAACGAGACTGGTGCCGTCGCCTTGACGTCACTCGGATGCGCCGCCCGGCTTTGCTCTTCCCGCCCCCCTCCTCCCTCCCGTGACGCTTGCGTCCCGCTGCAGCCCTGACAGAAGCCCATCGTTGAGCGTCCGCTGAGAGGACGTGGCGTGAATATTAGCCAATAAAAAGAAAAGACGCGTCATGCCTCGAGGAGCGATTGGCCTTTCTGCGGAGAAGGGCGCGCCCAAGAGGGCTGGGTGAGGAGTGATTGGTCGCTGTCGTCAGCTGCTCCAGGAAGAGAAAATGGCTGCTTTGGAAAGAGTGAAGGTGCTGGTGCTGGGCGACTCAGGTGAGAGCGCAGGGGTGGCTGGTAGGCGTTGCCCATCAGAGGAAACCCTGCAGTAAAAAAGCGCTACCATTAATTATGCCATGTTAGGTTTTATATGAGGTGGGCTGGTTGTGTACACGGCTCTGTGCAATTAGGAGGGAACCTATTCTAGGATTGTTCTCCTTGGTAAGATAGAATTCTTATTCTTAAACTTCATTTTCTAACTATGTTTCACTTTTTAAAAAGATGTCCCTACATCCAGGATTGAAATTATTCATTCCGTTCCCGGATTGCCTTCATTTTTCTGCTATATGTGTAAGCCAGGGGATTAAAACAAATATGACGACAAGCAGAAGGAGCGGTGAAAGTATTCCACAAATTTGTTTATCCAAATTAACACATCGAAATCTTATTTCCTGATGCTGATGGTTGCAGGAAAGCTAGCTTTATTGGGACGGACCAGTTTGTGTTATAAGTTGGTTTGTGTGTGAGGGGCGTCACTTAGAAGGAGTATAATTTGGAGTACCATCCCATTGGTTTTGGTGGTTCTTGAGCTGTGACAAAATGTAGCGTCCACTTTGCTGCTTAGTAGTACTATAGCTTTGACAAAAAAGAGCAAGGAGTAATTATGAAGAAGGCCAATGAGTCATTTAATCCAACTAGTAACTTGAAATGAGTCATGACCCAAAGACCTAGATGTTGGTGGAGAGTTCTGCTGAACAGGAGTGCTAAAGTTATAACAACTGCTTCTTTAAAAAAAAACTTTTGCAAGTTATAAGAGAGTGTGGATTATCACTTGAGAATGTATTTTTCAATGCTGTATTTTTCAGCAATGGCTGGAGCCATTGAAATCCACAAACACCAGCAGAGCTTCAACAAAAAAGAAGAAAGTTTACAACTCAACAAAGCTTGGCTCTCAGCACTGAAAAATACAGCCGGCAAAAAGTCAACAACCTCTCCCCAGCCACAAGGACTGGTGATCACTACACACAAAAGACCAACTAACGACATCCTCCAATCACAGTGACAGATAATCTCTCCTCCTTATCCCAACAATACACCCACAACAAAAACACACTGGTCACCTTAATCGCTCATCTCCTGAAAAGGACAAAAGCTGATCCCACAGCTATAAATACTCTACTCCCAAGCAAACTGCACCAGAGCACAGAGTTCCATCTCTGAAGATGCCGGCCAGAGATGATGGTGAAATGTTAGGAAGAACAACCATCAGAACAGGGCCAAGAAGCCCAAAAAACCCACAACAACCATTTTTATGAGATATTGGTTTGCAACATCTGAGCAGATTTGTTAATGCTAGGATATTTAGGAAGTCATTAACTGATATAGTCACTGCACATCAGAAGTAACTGGATGGAACATAACATCTTTGGATTTTTAAGAAATTACCTAGTAAATATATACTAACACCATGGGTAGAAGTGAAACTTTGACAGAAGTCTATAGACACCAATTCTCTGCTAACATCCAGTAGAGCCATCCCTAGCCACAAATCAAAAAACAGTAATTTCACAGCTGTATTTCCATGCCTACAGCCAGAGAATCATCTTGCAGACATGTTTCTGATAAGCTTGTTTAGCCATGAAGGAGTTAAAAAGATAAAGGTTACCTAAGAATCAGCTAATTAGGTTCACACTGCCCCAGACATGGAGCTAATTTCCTCTTTGGAAACCTATGTGAGAAGACTGTTTGGTCCCAGAAATCCTGAGAATGATTACTGAATAAACAGGGCAAAATATTCCCTTTTCTGGAGGACTCTACTGCTGTTGCCCCTCCCCACTGTATACATTTCATTTTGCAAAGCTCCTGCAGCACTCATGCTCAATCTTGTAACAGAGTCGTTTTTCTCTTTTGAAAGGCCTTTTATGAAGATCAGTATTTCAGCCCCTGCACCCTGGATTCCTTCCAAATAAAAATAAAGTGGATGGGGCCACTTTATATTTCAAGATAAGCAAGTTTGGTCTTTCCAATTTATATGATCTCTTTTACATTTGGGGATGTTTGGAGTCACTGGTTTCTGAATGGAGGTTAAAAATTCTATTTGGAAGTCGAGTCATGGCAACTGGACTTCTTTTTTATTAGGTTGAAACGTTTCGCTACTCATCCATGTAGCTTCTTCAATCTGAGGAGAGTTGGTAGGAGATCCCCGATATATCCTCCATGTTGGTTTCACTTCCCCCTGGTCTAAATAGGCTTGTTAGATGGACGAAGAATGGGGGGGGGGGAATGAGTGAAAATCCCACTTCTACATTCTTTCTCCTCCCATTGTCATGGGTCGTTAACAGTGGTCTTTCTGGTGTGTGTGTTCCTGATCTTTCTGGGAATGGATAAAAGGGCAGCATGATAAATAGGAGAAATATTTTATCTAAGGCTTCCATCCCTGTTGAATGAGGGATTTTATATATGCACATGTATGGCCTCTCTGACCCCTCAAATGATCTATCAAAATGAGTATATATTGGTCGTCAAATGAGCGTCCTTTGTCCTTCAAATGAAGGGACACTGCTGATTGTGGTCCTGAGCCATTGCCCCTCCTGTACTCGGCCATTCTGCTGTTTAGTGGCTGTTTGGTTTCTCCGGTGTAGAGCTCCGGACACTTCTCTTTGCATTGGACTGCATATACTATATTGTTCCTGTTGAGTTTGGGTGTCCGGTGTTCCTTACAAGGCAGGTGTGTCTGAAAAGGTTGAAAGGATTTTTGGTAAACTCCACATACCCGTGCACTTCAAACCCACAAACACACTAAGGCAGAGACTCATCCATCCAAAAGACTGGACAGCAAAACACAACTTCCAGGTAACCTCACATGGATGACTAAGAATCTTCACAGAATTAAAAGTTTTACTTTAAAAAAAATCATAACTCGAAACCCTTTGCCCAGAGTTCCCCCAAATCTGTCACAGAGCAAGAGCAGCTTGATTTAAAGTCATAATTTTTTCTTTGAGCAGATCCCATTTTAGAATTCCCCTATAGAATGTTGATTTGCTCAGTCATTCCAAACTCTCATGCAGGAATAATATACTTAACACTTAGTTCTTATGATAAAATCTATTTTAATTGTCCTTATTTTTTCAAACAATACAAGGGAGGGTCACGTTACTGCTCTGTTAGCAAAGGCCTATTGGGGATTTATGCCAGTATGAATTTAATTGCATAAAATGCAGCAGTGAACTTAGAAAACTGCTCATTAATAAATTGCCACTCATATTCTTGGTTGTGCACCAAGTTGCACTGTTCAAGGCAATTAATTACTGTGATTTATACATTTTCGCTTGTATGAGTCCCAGCAGGAGTCTGGCTGTAGTTCCTACTTCAATTGCTGGAATTATAACTACATTAAGTGCCAAATATTTTGGTGTAACGTTTTGAGCTATTGTCTATACAGCTTCAATATTTTGGTGTAACGTTTTGAGCTATTGGAAAAGATTTGGAAATGTCTATACAGCTTGCAAATTAACATGATGTACATCTACTGTTTAATAAATATAAATCATATATGTTCAGTGAAACCCCAGTCAGTTTAGGCAACTGGAAAATGTTATTCTAAATTTTCTGGCAAAATACATATCACAGTTTAACAAAAATGTACATCCTGGGTCTTATTTATGAGTCTAGCCATTGGAATTGTCTGAAAACCCTGGTTTAAGTATTTTCTAAGCCTGTTTATTCCTACAGTCGTGCTTCGCTTTACGATTGCCCCGTATAACGACGAATCCGCTTAACAATGCCTTTTTTGCGATCGCAAAAGCAATCGCAAAACAATGCTTCTTATGGGCAAAATCCGCTGTGTGAGGATCATTTCCCTGCTTCAGGAACCGATTTTTCACATTACGACGATCAGCAAACAGCTGATCGTCGGGTTCCAAAATGGCCGCCGGCTGAAGAAAATGGCCCCCCGCTGTTTTCTAGGACGGATTCCTCCCTAGACAGGCATCAAAATGGCTGCCTTATGGAGGATCTTCACTGGACGGTGAGTTTTTAGCCCATTGGAACGCATTAACCGGGTTTTAATGCGTTTCAATGGGTTTTTTATTTTCGCTTTACAATGTTTTCGCTCTATAGCGATTTCACTGGAATGAATTAACATCGTTAAGCAAGGCACCACTGTATTTACTTAAAATCACATAGCAGTGCTGAAATAATAATAAAAGCATGATCTTACGCTGAGGCTTCATTTATGATTTTCTTATAGGTGTGGGAAAGTCATCACTTGTTCACCTCCTCTGTCACAATCAGATGTTGGGAAATCCATCTTGGACTGTGGGGTGCTCTGTTGATGTGAGAGTAGGTGAAACTATTTATTATAGCATTTCAAAGACTACAAAGCCGTAGTATTCAGACACAAAACACAGATGTTAGTACAGCCAGCCCTCCAGTACCAGCCATATGCCTTCTTACTCTACAGTTGAATTTCTTTCTAACAGCAAAAATTTAGAATGCAACTGAACAAAAGGGCCAAGTAGAAGGGTCAATAACTGAGTTACTGTTAGTTGGTGAAATCCTCTCTGTGTGTAGAATATATATCTTGCCTTTCTTCCAATTTAGAAACCATTTAGAGGCAGGTTAAAAATGGGAGTTTGAGAGCTATACATAGATAAATTAAAATGTTAAGAATTCTGTGAAGTATATTATAGTAATAATATAAAAGGTCATTAAAGTTTAAGCATCTTAGAAACAAAAGCAGTAAAAAAGAGATATATGCATATCAGAATGAATTTTAAAGAAGGAAAGAGAAGCTCAGCATTCTCTGTTAAAACCTTTCTGCAGCCCAGTCCGCAGCCAAAAGATTCACTGAAGAGATAGCCGTTTGTCTGTTTATGGGTGAACAGGAGGAAGGGGCCCAATCTAGCCCCTGTGGAAAGGAGGTCCATAGCTAGAGAGCACAATCAGAAAGGCCTTCTTTCAATTCCTCAACAAAACATACTTTTGAGGTTAGTAAGACTGAGAAAAGGGTCTCAGCTAAAGATCTTAAAATGTAGGGGACTCACATAGGGAAATGCAGATAGCTTGGATACAGCATCATAGGTCATATCCAGTGCTTTGAACTGGGGCTGGACTTGAACTGGTACCAGTGGAGTTGATGTAGTACAGCAGTTACGTGCTCTCTAATGAGTCCTAGTTAATTGTTTGGCTGCAGCATTTTGGACCAATTGAGATTTCTGAACATTCTTCAAAAAATAGCTCTCAACCTCCTGTTCACCTACGAACAAACACCTTTCTCTTCAGTTGTTGTTGTTGTTTAGTCGTTAAGTCGCGTCCAACTCTTCATGACCCCATGGACCAGAGCATGCCAGGCCCTCCTCTCTTCCACTGACTCCCGGAGTTTGGTCTCTTCAGTAGATCACAGCAATCCAGACAGAATATAGCTAAGACATGCATCACCCTAACCAGACCAGATATCTCAAGGAATGGGTATCACTGGTGCATTAGTCTTAATTATGTAAATATCTTCCTGACCACTGCTGAAATTAGAGTATCCAAGAGCAGGGAATATCTAAACTACAGTCTAAGAACTCTGGAGAAGTGTAATCCTATCCTACACAAGCTGGATCCCTAATCCTAGATATTCTTTTCAGTAGACCAGGAGCACCTCTGTCTTGTCTGGATTAATTTTCAGCTTGTTTAGTCACCGGTCTAGGTGCATAACAACTTTGTTGGAATGGAAGGAAGAGACAGAATTGAGGTGGGATCCTCAATGTATTTCGTAATAGGGTAGCTCCAAAGCATCTTTGTGAGGAAGGAAGCTCTGACATTTTTAAAGGCAGATCTTGATTCTTCACTGTCTGCCATGCATGAAGGCAAACAAAGTTGTTATCCCTTTGTGGGACAGGGCAAGTCACAAAGAGGGATATTCAAAGTGACCTATCTGTAGCCTACAGATACGCCTACCAAGTACCTTTTGTGTGCTGAGTCAGCCTGGACTATGCATAACAGTATAAAAAAGGAAGATGGAAGATTTGCTTTTGTTAAAATGACCCCTCTCCAGCCATTTCGATGAAGATTCTTAGGGAAAGACTCTTGTCTTTTTTGTTCAAGATACCTTGTCCTTTCTTTTCATAACACAAAGGCCAAAATGTAGCAATGTTGCAACTAGAGTAGACCCATTGAATCAGTGGGGATTTGGTGAGTCAGCACTGAGTTCCATTGGTTCAGTGGACCTGTTCTAGTTGCAACTTAGTACTAGACTTCAGCCTATATAAAAGTTTTTGGCTGAAATCCTGTTGTTTAGCATAGTAAGTTGCAACTAGAGTGGGCCCATTGAATGATTGGTGATTTGGTGAGTCAATTCTTCTGTAAGTTCCATTGACTCAAATGGGCCTACTCTAGCAGCAACACAATTTCAGCCTTTATATGCAGATTAAAAATGTAGGCTGTATGTTGGTAACCATATGTCTTCAAGTAATGGCTTGCTCTAGTTACTTCTTTGGCATTTTCTTTTCAGATTCATGACTATAAAGAAGGAACTCCAGAAGAGAAAACTTACTACATTGAATTATGGGATGTTGGTGGTTCAGTAGGCAGTGCTAGTAGTATAAAGAGCACACGTGTCATGTTCTACAACTCAGTTAATGGTAACATATGCATATTTTAATACTTGTTTCTATTACTTTCATTTAACAGAGTCTTTATTGGTATAGTCCTGTATGTTCCAGAAATGTTGCAAAATAGTGCTTTTGATATTGAAGAATGTTTGTTTAATAGACTGAATTTAGATATGAAAATGTTTCATTTTTAGATGCCACATAGTTGCATATTGTTTAATCTTATTTTCCGAATTTTATTTTAAAGTTAGAACTTACTGGTTATAAAATACTACTGCATTTTTAATGAACTATAAACTTGAGTTGTTTTATATTCTGGACATTTTCATAGAATTAAAACATGCAAATAAGGGCCAAATGTGTCTCTTCCGGCTTGGATAAGATTGATTCTGAATCATATTTTGGAAAAATATGCTTCGAACTCCAAATCTGGGTGCACAACTTCTCATCTATATATCAAGTTTTAAAAATATGTATTCTCCTGACAATATTTTGCTTGTTAATCGATAGCAACTGAATTGATAATCATTCAATTGAGCCCCATTTCAGCAAATAATTTTAATCTTTTCCATGTTTTAATGTTTTAATCTTCTCATTTAATTTTAAAATCATGTATTGTTTAAGTTATCTTTTAATATTTTAACTTATTGTGTTTTTAAATTGTGAATTTTAATGTTGTGAGCCACTTTAGGTCCCTTGTTGTGAGAAATGTAGTGTATTATAATAATAATAATAATAATAATAATAATAATAATAATAATAATAATAATAATAATAATAATAATAATAATAATAAAATTTAATAATTAAATTATTATTATTATTAATCAAAGTATTTTAAGTACCATTTTAAATTTGATTATAATTTTTTATATTTTATATTGTCACCTGATTAACACAGCATTCTCTTATTAGATTTTTTCTTAATATCAGTTATTCAGTATTCACTGTGAACTTACTTGTATCCTGTGTTTAATACAATCAGTTTTTACTTGTTCATGTCTTCATATTTTAAATTATCTTCCACGAAGCATTTCAAATTGCTTGCCACTTGGAATTTCTTTGAAAGGACATCTTATTTTGCTTTGAGGAAGGTTAACTAGCACCTTACCAGTCCCCATTAAACAAAATCAGATATACTGTTGAGACCAAAGTTGCCTCACATGCACAAAACTAGCCATGTGATTCTGACCTGTATTCTGAATGTGAGTCTTTCAGGCTATAGGTGGTCATTTCATGCAAGAATGTTCTTTTATTTACTTAGGCATAATATTAGTACATGACTTAACCAATAAAAAGTCTTCCCAGAACTTGTATCGATGGTCTTTGGAAGTTCTCAACAGAGAAGCAGCTCCATCTGGTGTCCTGGTGACAAATGGGTAAGTGGGCAGAATACCCAATTATTTTCTGTCTTTGTAGTAACACTTTCCCCTGTTATCTTTATGGATGTTCTTGTGCCGAGAAGAATAAAAGGAAGGGGTGTATGTTAGAAGAATTGGATGTTGCCAGTGAAAAGCAGACTTTATTTTTGTGCTTCTGCACTGCAGTGTTAAAAAGTGAACTCTCCACCTTCCCAAGGTAAATAAACAATTAGCAAAATTGTCATTTGGAAAGTCTTCAGAAGAGGATCTGCCCTAAGCCGAGTGAAAGTCATAGCATCAGCTTTACACATGAAATAATGAGACCCCTGCTTGGAAGACGAGGACTACATCCAGCTAAATACAATTCTACAAAGAAAAGAGAGGTGGTGGGTTGGGATATAGCTATTTCTGGCACTTGCTTGCTAACTAGCTCGTCTGTATCCTGGTTGGAGGCGTAGGATCCTTCTGTGATTTTATACATGGGCGCCCAAGGGCCCAACGTAACAATGGATCTCTACAGACTTTTGTTGTTGGTCAAGGTGGTGGTGGTTTGACTTTACTGTTCTGAGCACATTTGAAGCTCAAGAGAGAAATAACAAAATGGAAAAAAATGCTGAAAGAAGCAGCAGTGACATTTCTGAAGAAATGAATCTATGCAAATGTAATTGAGAGCAGTCTATACATGCTAGGGCAATATGGATGGTTTGTAGAGTGGATGGATTGGTTTGCTCTTACACTGAGGCGCATGTGCTAGATTGTCATTAAATCGAGCATGTTTGTACTTGTTTTCTTGGTTTTGTCTTTAGTTACTGTCATGATCTTTAATGTTGGCCTCTAGGGATGTGCATTTGTTTTGTTTGCACTCAGAATCCCAGAATTTTCCATTCTAGAAGTTCTACCTGCCAGATAGGCACCTAAATTGTACCTGAGCTGGAAGGCTTTAGGATCTAGGATAACCTGAGCTCAGGTGGTTTTCCTCTAGGGGGTCAGAATTCAGTTGTTTATTTGGCGGGTGGAACTCCCTGAATGGAGAATTCTGGGATTTGCTGTCTAAACTAAAACCATTTATCGGTGCCTCCTTTCTACTGCTAGCTAGCAAGTTCATTCATTCATTCATTGATAAATCTCTCTATAAATTCAAGTTGCTAAAGGTAGCACACATGATCCCCCAAACCCCATTTTGTTTTTACACATGGTAGAAAATGAAGAGTCAAATATCACCTTAGAAATAAGTGTCTTTAATACTACAAAAAGTGTCATGAACTACAGCAGGGACAGCCCATAGGGCACAGGCTGTCAGTGAACTCCCCTTTTGCAGCCCCCATATCCCTTCAGATTGACTGCTTCTGCCACAGTAAACCATGCCGCTGAAAATTACTGCCAAAACCTTGCCCACTTGACTCTTGTCAGTGCTTCCTTTGGTAACAGGAGGTCTCATGGTCCCTTGGGCTGTTGGGTGCAGGCAAGTGCGCTGGCCTCCTTCTACAACATAGAATTCCCACCATTGTCGTTAAATGTTATTGGTGACATCAGTGAGATAAAATGTGGTCCCTGAAGGGTTGTGCCTCCTAGTGTGCCTCCTCGTCACCCCAGAGTTGCCAGTCTTGTATGAAAGCCTGTGTCACTGGATGTGTTGTTGATAGTGTCAAGTAGATGAGACTGAGAGATAAGAGCTCTGGGCCAGTCGTTACTTATTTATTCATTTGTTATTTTGTTAACATAGGGTATATCCTAATGGAGAGAACCAAGATGGCTCACAACTAATTAAAACAATATAGTCATATATACACAATTAGAAACATGATGAGATGAATTGAATTAAATGGCAGTATTGAAAATGGCCATTTAAAAACATAGACACCTAAGAGTTGCAGAAATACATACACACAGCAAATCCAACACAGAAAGAGAGAGAGAGAGAGAGAGAGAGAGAGAGAGATTTTCCAAATCAGTTAAAAGCCTGCCAGAAAAGGAAGGTGTTTGTATGCCAGTGGAAAGGACAGGAGGGAGGGAGCCAACCTGGCTTCCCTAAGGAGTGCAATGCCAGTGGAAAGGACAGGAGGGAGGGAGGCAACCTCTCTTCTACAGAGAGTAGGGTCCATGCTTGACCTGAAGCACAAATCTTAGCCTGCCCACTGCTGTGATCCTTTCAATGCCATCAGCCCAATTTTCTTCTCATCTGTACTCCATTTTTTCTACACTTCCTCAAGATCAAGTGCTACTTCTGTAAATAATCTTGTGCATAATTTAATAGACTGTTTTCAACCACTTCTCTCCAATTAGTGTTAATGTCACCAGTGATATGTGGAGAATGTTGTTTCTTGACACACATGACCTCTCTTCATTATACAGGGACTATGATCGTGAGCAGTTTGCTGATAACCAGATTCCGCTGCTTGTCATAGGAACCAAACTGGACCAGATCCCAGAAATGAAGCGCAATGATGTTCTGACCAGAACTGCTTTTCTTGCAGAGGATTTTGGTGCAGAAGAAATTAATCTGGTTTGTATTTTTGCTTAGTTGTGTCAGTTTGTGATAACTTAGTTTTAACTGAACATTGAATTTCTTTTCCCCAAAGGACTTGGGTACTATATGTACATAGAGTAGTGCTTTTCTATCAAGTTCCTAACTTTCTAATATTGATTAGGGCAGTTTGAAGGAGCCTGCTAATCTTCTTGGTTTGAATGCAGATGAAAGTGTCTGAACAAATGATATTCTTGCAATGTCTGGATTATCAGGAATCAAGAGGTTTCTGTTCACATTCACATAAATAACAGTATACAGTGGTGCCCCGCAAGACGATGTTAATCTGTTCCATTGAAATGTCTGTCTTGTGAAAACATCATCTTGCGAAAAGCGTTTCCCCATTGGAATGCATTGAAATCCATTTAATGCATTCCAATGAGGAAATTAGTCGTCGTCTTGCGAAAATCGCCCATACAGAAGCCATTTTGCGAAGCGCTGATCAGCTGTTATAATTGCTGTCATGCGAAGCATCGGTCCTGAAAACACCTGTTTTGCGAGTCGCTGACCTAGCTGTGAAAATCGTCTTGCGAAGCACCGGCCCCAGAAAAAACCGTCTTGCAAAGCATGGACCGACACATTGTCCAGTGAAAATCGCCCATAGGGAACACTGTTTTGCGAAGCGCTATAGCGATCGCAAAACTCATCGTCATGCGGATTTGTCGTTTTGCGAGGTCATCATCTAACGGGGCACCACTGTATGTCCTGTTCAGTTCCCCCTTTTCAGCTGTGTGTTGGCTTTCGTTACATAGTCTGAAAAATCAGCATGTTTATTTCCAATATTAGCAATGTTGAAAACTCACCAAGCTGGAGGTTGCTTTTGCAGCTGACGAAAATGTTTCTAAGAAGCCCTCACACACCTTTTTGGCATAATTATCTGCAATGTCATTGAAATGCTTAGATTCAGGAACAACTTTTTTAAAACTTTCAAGAATCAGCATTGATAAATGTATACAAGAAAAAGTTTTGCTTGCCAATACCTTACCTATGAGGAATTCTAGTATTAAATTATCTTGGTTTTGAGTACCCAAGAAACTCCATGTAGGCATCCTTCAGTCTCGAGAGAATATGGTAATGTGCTCTGAATAGAGGTCGTGGAACAGCATCTAGTGTGGCTGAGAAGGCCAATTCGAGAGTGACAATCCCTTCCACACTGAAGCCAAATACAATCTGTCCCCTGTCCACCTCCCTGATTTTGCTGGTTTCGGGACTGCCCCTTTGCCTTGGCCTGCTGGACAAGTGCCTCTTCAAATTGGGAGAGGCCATGCTGCACCGCCTGCCTCCAGGCTGAACGCTCAAGAAACTAGTAGCCATTAATTGTGAATGGTTGCCTCCTTCCGGAAGAGTCAAGAGTCCTTCAATGTGTTTCAGACTAGACTGCTGCATCTGAGGATGTTCTGATTAACTTTCACACACTAGGTTAAAAAACAACCACAGCCCATTGCTTCTGTTTCACATGTCGTGTTTCATTAAAAGACATCAGGGAGCCTTTTTGTCTCAAATGCATTCTATTGCCTGGGCAAAAAAAAAAAAAAAAACAGATTTCTTCACGGTTGTCTTGATCTTGGTTGTATTTTGTTTATTGTGGTGGTGGGGAGCTGTACATGGCACCAAGGTTCCCTCTAAGGTGCATGGCTGCATGAGCGTGCAACTTTGTCTCCTCCCCCCGCGCAGCACTCTTCTTCTATGCACCCACAGTGATCATTTCCAGCCCTTTTCATCATCCAGTCACGATGGACGCCCATGCCGGGGAGTGGAGCCCCACCCAGCGGGGCTGAAAATTAGAGGGTCCCTTGCGTGGCATGGACGCCCATGCCGGGGAGTGGAGCCCCCCCCCCAGCGGGGCTGAAAATTAGAGGGTCCATTGCGTGGTCCATGGCTGAAATATGGGGACAGTGTTTGCAACTCTTCAAGTGACAATCTTACAGAATGCCTGTGTGGGAGGTTTAGTTATGGGTGGATTCTGTGACAGATATTCAGACTTATGGATAAATAATGGCCATCCCTTCTATAAACTCTTCCTCTGAATTCTGTGTGGGAAGGGCAAGGGAGAGTACACTTGCTTGGCAGAAGAGCACAGACATGCTGCATGTGCTCAGGGGTACCTTTGCTTTATTTGTCCTAGCTGGTAGAGAAAATTGTTGGCTAGTCACCTAGAGACAATTTGTGGTTAGAAGGCCTGCTTCGTGGAACGTGGTCCTGATATTTAGCCATTGGCAGCAAAGACCAATTCCAGTACTAGTGTCTGTCCTGCACTTTGTAATTGCTGTGTTTCTTACAAACAATGGTTTCAATGAACCAAAGAAAGTTCCATTTTTGGTGTTTCAGGACTGCACCAACCCTCGGTACCTGGCTGCAGGCTCTTCTAATGCTGTCAAGCTCAGTAGATTTTTCGATAAGGTGAGTGTTCCGATTAAGCGTAATTGTTGGTTTCTAATTGTTTTGGAGCACAGAAACACGAAAATTGAAAGATTGAATTCTTACTGCTCAAGCCCAGTCTTAGCAAACACCACAAGGTGAGGCGAACCAGGCTAAGGCAAGCTGTGGTAAAGCTAGCTGTTAATGGACAAGCAGAGGTGATTTCTGGGAGAGCTCTTCAAGCGTCCAAGTAGGATTGAGCCAAGATTCAGCAGGAGGAGAGAGCTCCGTGCCTGGAAGGGAAATGCTGGCGAAAATAAGTGCAGAAATGTACTGAAAATGTTCTGTTGCTACACAAGGGCTAAAGGCAGGAAGGACAACATGATATGTGCAAGAACTCTTAAGACCACTTCCCCCCCCCAGCCCATATCTTCTGGATTTTTAATTAAAGCTCTCAGTTTTCCGTCTGTGTCATTATGTGACAGCTGTACGTAGGAGGCAAGGAAGAACAGACCGTGCTTTTTTTATTGCTGGGCTGGCAACTACATGCCACCCCACCACTACCACCACTACCAAAAAGCAGAAGCAAATGTAGAAGTTCATGTGTCTTCAGACCCAGCTCCTGTGCCTTTTAGCTTTTCCTAACATTGTTACATGTATATGAAATCTATTCCCAATATTAGTTTAGTTAGTTTTGTTCCTTTAAATTTTGATTCAAATGTCGCTCTGCTTTGGAGTGAGGAAGCTGCATTTTTAATTTTTTTCTGCAATATATTATTGAATCAGCCTCTGCATATGTACAAGCATATGTATGCACATGGACATATGCAATTACAGATACCAATCTGTATACTAATATTAATACATATACCACTCACCAGAAGCTATGCATAAATTGAAATGCATCGCAGAGGGAGTTCTGCAGTACTATACAAACAATGACCATAGACAGCCATGATTGTGCATTGTCCTTTTCCTTTTCCTCTGAGTTGAATGTCAGAAGTTTCTGCTTGCATTTTAGACAATTACAGTTTTGCCTGGCATCCAAATTTTAACCATGGTTATCTTAACCATGGTTAGCTGAAACAAACCAGTTTCATGGTTTCAAGTTGACTTGTATCTGCAAACCACAGCTCATATCAGCCACAGTTTGTTTGGTGCAAAAGTATCCAGATGTTGCCATGATGTAAGAGTGAGAGCTCATTGTGCACTTTGGCTTGTTCACATAATGCCAAATGTTCGCTTAACAATGAAGCCAAACAGCCTTGCCCAAAATATTATTTGGCTTATGGTGGGTAGAGTTTTGTCCTGTACTATTCAAAAATATGAATTAATATAACTGACGGAGAGAAAGTGCGTCTTATGGTGCAAAAAGTAGTATAACTGATTACATTCCAAATACTTATCCAAAATCCTTGTGCATTTGTAAGCAAAAGTAGCCATTAAAAAAAGGCTGAAAAATTTAACATGGAAACCACATATATTCTGTGGAAAGAAACAGACTTGCTTCCACAGTGAGACTCACCAAAGAGGAACAAAGGTCACCAGAAGAAGGCTCCACAGCAGTCCAGAAGCATTATGCACATCTCATACAGAAGAAGGCTCCACAGCAGTCCAGAAGCACTGAAGGCCCTCATTATGCACATCTCATGAAGATGGCAACTCCCACTAGAATGCAGAAGTACATGTTGGATTTACATGTTGTATGGGTATACAATACGTGCAGGAATTATCACTTTTTCATTCTGTAGATTATCTTGCATACACATTTTCATACTATACAGTTCCTGGCATGTTGAGTAAAGCCTTGTCTTGAGGCATTCATTCCTTCAGAAGGACAAAATATTTTATTGAAGTTTAGTTCAACATTTTAAAAACTGAAATGTTGTACCTGGCACAAAGGAGAAATTGTTTTTAAATGATTTTTTCTAGTTCTGGAGGGAGATCCATATATTCTAAACATGAATGATACTTTTATATCGTGCCACAGTGGTTATACCGCTGTACTGCAGCCAAAACTGTGCTCACGACCTGGGGTTCAATCCCAGGTAGCCGGCTCAAGGTTGACTCAGCCTTCTATCCTTCTGAGGTCGGTAAAATGAGTACCCAGCTCACTGGGGGGGGGGCGCAATGTGTAGCCTACATAATTAACTTGTAAACCGCCCAGAGAGTGCTTGAAGCACTGTGGGGCGGTATATAAGCAGCACACTTTGCTTTGCTTTGCTTTATATCTGAGATAGTCTTGATTAGCCAGCTTGCATTTGCCTCTTGGTGAACAGGCAACATTATGTTTCAAAAGGAAACTAAGGATAAGTTTCCTTTCAGTTCTTAGACTGTGACTAGCTAGTAGTGTCTTGACTCAGATCATAACTGAATTCAGAAAAATTAAATTGTAAACTTTACAAAGAGTTCTTTAAGCATTCTACGGCAGTATATAAACAGCACACTTTGATTTACAACACTCCATCCCCTGTTCAGAATGGAAGCACAGATAAAAAAAGGGCAATGCATGATTTTTAAAAGATTGTTCCTGTTTCCTCAGGAGCAGGCATTTGAGCAGTAACTTGTATGGGAAGAGAGGGCAATATAAGGGACTGCTTCAGGTCCAGGTGATGGCCCGTGGGATGGTGAAGGTATCCCCTCTATTTCCATATAGCCTGTGGTTGCCAATCCTGTTGTGATACCTTTTGACTTGCCACTGCAACACTTCAGTGTCTGTGTGAATCCCCTTGTGTGTAGGTAGTTACCCTGGAAAATGACACCATATGGAAGCATATCGTATGTAACAGATTCTGTTCTGATGTCGGTAATTACTAACAGATATTGAAAACATGGTGCCAGAGTTATTAACAAGTGAAATGAAAAAGTGTGTGTGTAGCCTTTGCTCTAGTAAGCTGATGGTTCAACAATAGCCGATGATGACTTTTAGACCTGTTGCATGGCACAATAATTGCACATTTACCACACTTCTCTGTTGTCCTGTTTTAGGTCATAGAGAAGAGATACTATCTACGAGAGGGTAATCAAGTAGGTGCACTTTTTTTTGTATTTCTTGGACAATGTAGGTTGAATGTATACCTTTAAACTCCTTAAAGATGCATTCATCTGAACATGCATTTCACCTGAATCCCTTTCTGTTCAACATTTAATAACCAAAATCTCTCAGCTCTTGTTACACTCTTCTATTTACATCTGCAATGTTTGATTTTTTTAAAAAAAAATTAATTCTGTCCTATGTGCATATTGTAGAATATAGAGTAAAATGAAAAAGATAAAACAATTGAGGCAAGTGGCTAGTACAGGGATTTTTTTCTTTTGGTGTACCTACTATATAAATCTCTTAATTGAATGTTGTTTGCTTAAAGGTAGTTGCTACTGTTACAACCCTTCATTTTTTGTGATGGCAATTGATACGATTTAAGCAACACAGTATTACGTTGAACATTTAAAATTTGAACGTTAAGCAAAGGAGAAGTGATTGAAAGGAAGTGTGAAATGGACAAAACTCAAAACCTAGATGCAAGCCAAGCCATTGCAAAGGTTATTTGTTCATTGCAAAATTCAGCTTGCAGTCTGATTACTTATTAATGAGCTGTGTAAAGAGCTAGAGAGGCCAGAATAGAGAGGAGGCAGAGATGAGAGGAAGAAAGCAAGCCAAAGCAGATTGAGAAAGGACACCACTTGAAAGTATAATTTCTTCTTTCAGAAGCTTGTTGCCTTCCTGGTGTTTAATAATCATAATCAGATATGAGCTTATAAAGCTGCCATGTATCTGCAGATCACTGGTGCATCTGGCCCATGGTTATCTTTTTCTGACAGCTGCTCACTAGCGCCTCAAGGAAGGACTCTCCTGAATCCTGCTACTTTCTGAACTGGAAGTGCTAGGGAAAGAAGCAAGAACCCACTGCTTACAGAGTTTTTGGTCTACCACCAAGATGTGGGCCCTCCCCTTTTCCCTCTCAAAGTGTGACAGTCTTGGCTTTCACAGTGCATTAATATGGGACAAACAGCCCAGGGCGATGAGGCTTTTATCAGTCTGCAAGAGAATGGAATAGGCAGGACTTGGTTCCCACTCTCTTGTTCTTTCTCTTATATGGAAGGCATAGCTAGACATGTAAAAAGCTCCCCTAGGAGTGCCCTAGCCTGAGTCCATTAATCTAGGCTCTACTTCTTCTAAAAATTCCAGGATTCTTCTGGAGCTTCCAAGTTGGAGAGCCAGTGTCATGTAGTGCAGTGGTCCCCAACCCTGGACCTCCAGATGTTCTTGGATTACAACTCGCAGAAGCCTTCACCACCACCTCTGCTGGCCAGGATTTCTGGGAGTTGAAGTCCAAGAACATCTGGAGGCCCAAGGTTGGGGACCACTGATGTAGTGGCAGAGAACTGGAATAGAACTTACAGTTGCCTACCAAAAGGCACCAGTATTTCCTATAAGGATCTCCTTTTTTGCAGCACATGTCACTAAGTCTCTGGAAGGTCACTTGATGGGTGCCATGACAGTGTCCTGAACTTCTAAGATCACAGTACCCAGGTGGGGTGGGGTGGCAGAATTCCCTCTCTGATTCAGGAGCCTTTAAAGGTAATGTGACCTCCTGCCATATATGCACAGCCTTTGTTCTGCATATATAGTGGCTGCTTCTACTTCTGTAAAGGCACAGGCCTTACAGAAGTAGAAGCAGGAGGCAGTGGAAGACAGGAGGGCCTGGTGTGCTCTAGTCCATGGGGTCACGAAGAGTCGGACACGATGTAACGACTAAACAACAGCAACAAAGGGCACAGGCATCATCAGATCCCCAGCATTCTGTTCAGCCTGTTATTGTTGGGGAGGAAACCTCTTATTAAGAGAAAATGGGAAAGAGGCTTCCATTACCATGCATTACTTTGTCCTTGTTAAGAAACAGAAGACGCAAAAATGTATGTGTTGAGAGCTACCAAGTATCAGAACTCTAGACCAGCTGCTTAGGAGAATAAATCAAAGTGAAAATGGAAGTATCAGTGCATCAGAATTGTTACTGCTGTCCATTGTGGTATTATGTAAACATGATGACCTGTTCTAATACAAGGATTTTTGTCTGTTGGCAGATTCCTATCTTCTCAGAAAGAAAGAGAATTGGTGGTGGCTTTGTAAAGAACCTTCATTATGACTGATCAGCACGGGCTATCCAGAGGCGATGGGAAATGACTTCTCTTGACTGCAGCGTTCCTCTTGTGCTACACTAAACCAGGTTCTGTGAGCACAAAAATCAACAAAACTTTTCAAGTTCGTTTATGTACAAAGAAGTACTTCTTCCAGATCTCTTTGAGATAATCAGATCTTTGGGACATTGTGACAAATTTGTTGCATATGGAGTATCGCTGTGGGATATACTATCTCATAACTCTTCTTTTGTGCATCGTGAAAGATTTATGAACCCACGCTGCTTCCCTTAGAAGAACGGCGATGCTCAGTGGACCTTGAAAAATGATGCAGGACACTGAGACCTATATACAATCAGTTAAAAGATCAGCGTTTTACCAGGTTGTATTCCAGCTGATGCTATGCCGTTTTGTAGTCCATTGCTAAGGGGTATCTGCCTTATTTGTTAACAATAAAGAGATGCTGAGACAGAAGTAAGCAAATGGGAAAAGATTTGGTAAAAGAAGTTTGAACATAGATGCCATTAATTACAATACATTTATAGGGATAGCTTAAATTTTTATTTTTGCTTTAATTATTTGACTGCTGTTCCTTACATACACAAATCAGCACCACTCATACACAAGAATGGAATTAGCAAATACTGTATGTGTGTGTGTGGGGGGAGAGGCAAGCTTGTTAAATGTACAAATAATCTTTAGGGAACCCTCCCAACCAGTCTCATGAGGGATGCTGTGATTCATGGTCACTGTAAAACTACTGTGTGGAGGACAATAGAAGCCCAAGAGAAAAGGAATGGAAGGGGGTGACTGGAAAAGGAAGACGGAACAAAACCATACCAGCAAACAGCAGTTCTTATTTAATGTGAAATATATAACAAAAGCACGAGTAATGCAAATTCAGGCGCAAATCCTCCTTTCAGCCTGGAGGGCACTATGGCTCAGAAAGAGTATCTTTTGACATATTTGTAATGAGGGATACACTGAGCAATTTGTATACAGTGGACCCTCTACTTACGGAATTAATCCGTATTGGAACAGTGGCTGCAAGTCGAAAAGTCTGTAGGTCGAATCTCCATTGACCTACAATGCACTGAAAACCAATTACGTAATCCCATAACTGGCAGTTTTTATTCTATTTTTGTTCCATTTTGGTTTTTTTCTGGTCTGTAAGTCGATTCTCCGGCTGCAAGTCAAATCTAAATTTTGCGGCCAGAGAAGTCTGTAATTCAAAAAGTTTGTAAGTCGAGCTGTCTGTAAGTTGAGGGTTCACTGTAGATACCTACTGCAGGTCAAAGGTTGGGCTGAAGCTGAGAAAGTAGCTTCAAAAAATCCTAGTGCTACCCATTGCATGGATTCCACACTGCAAATTAGGCCCAGAGAGCAGTCTACCACAGTCATTTGGTCTGGTTCACCATTACACTCCTATAGCAGGTTGGAGGATTGTGGGGAAGAAATACTGTAGCTTGCTCCAGCTGTGTTACATAACCTGCTGTTAATACCAAAGGCCAGATGTACAGCTGGAGCTGGTTTGGATAGCTAGTCAAAAACAACCCATACCCTCCTATTTCCAGTTAGGCACTTCAGTGCATGCAGAAGCCTCATGTTGCATCGACTTGCATGCGGACTAGTCCTTTTAAATGTTCTACAGTTGCAGTGACAGAAAGACCTAAGAGCAAAGACTTGTGTTTTGAGGGCCACTCTAGCTGCTGCAAACTTGGCTCTCCAAAGTGTGGCATTTGCAGACTTTCTTGCATCTGGCAAAGCCCCAAAGGCTTCACTCTCAGAAAGGATGTCCCAGGTTCAGGCATTATCAGGGCAATTTTAACAACATTTGGGTCTGACCAACTGCATGGATAGTGGCACCCAATCACTGTGTTGCTGACACTTCTCACTGCAGACCCCCAACTGCACTCTCTGGATTAGAAAAAGTTGATAAAGAATTAAAGGCTTACACTAAAGAAACCAAATCCACAGCCATAATAGCGAGGAGCGGCAATAAATGGCTGTGAAGATTAGTTGATGAATGAAGGATGGAGAATTCTTTATCAGAAAGACTCTGATTGCAATGTTGGCAAGGGATTCTGGGACTTGTAATACCTAATCCTGTAAAAATTACTTTTTTGTATCTAAAAAAATCAATCTAAAAATACAAATTTTTTGTATCTAAAAATACCGCCATTTTACCATACCACCTGTAAGAAAATGGCTTCTTTCCAGCAGGATGGGACCCTTGGAAATAAGAACCTGGGGTCATTCTAAGTTTAGAACATGTAAATACAGTAGGTAGCTCCTTCCCTGGCTACATATCCAGGCATGTTGCCTTGGCTCAGCTAGTTTAGGGCTGTGGACAGTCTCCTTAGGAGGACATTCCGAACACCTTGTGTGGAACAAGGAGTGAGCTTTCCACCAACATTACTTCCTTGTTTTAAATTGTAACCCCGTTCTATAAGGTGAATTAAATAAAGCGGCATTTGTACACACTCATTTTGTTGTTTGACTGTGTTTCTCCCAGCCCAAAAAGGAAAGTTGTGTTCCAGGAACAGACAATGTGGGAGGGGAGAAGGCTTACGCAGAGTGATGGGCTTCCTCTGTCTGACATACTGAATAGAAATTTCCAACTACATGGTACCAAGGGTGAAGCATTAAACTACACTCTAAAGCCCATTGCCTTTGTGGAAGTGATAAAATAGAAGATCTTGCCCACTATTTGGTGCACTGTCAGTTATATGCTAATATTAGAAAACATTACTGTACTTTACCCTGCTCGTTAATAGGATAAGGACATGGGATGACGAGAGAAAAATGGACTACTTGTTGTGTGGATCCAGCATGTTCATAAAACAGAGGGTTGCTCTTTATGCGGTCAAGGCAGCCTCCCTTAGAAAGAAAGAGGACGAAAAGAAATGTGTTGGTTTTTTAATTACTGTGTATAGCAGAGTTCTATATCAAGGTTTTACGGGATTAATACTAATTTATCTTAGATTGAGGACCTGACTGATATAGTTCTGAGTATTTGGTTTATATATGAGATACATGTGATCCAATTTTCTTTTTTCATATGGTCAATGATGGATGAAATGGTCCGTAGATGACTTCAATAAAATTTGACTGACTGACATTCCAAAGCCTGCCTGTAACCAGGTAAAAGAATGCCTGGCAAACCTTTGGCACAAATTTTTGGGATATTCATTTATAATTTTTCTGCAATGCCCATAAATTACTAGTGCATGTCTGAACAAGGGACTTTTAATCCACAATAGCATACATTAATTGTTTGATTTTTTTTAGTGACCCAATAAAGATGTTGCATTTTTCTACACTTGTATTCTGTTTCACAAGCATCTGAATTTAGCAAAGATACTGGAAGGAATCGGAATATATATGAGGTGAATCATTAAAACTCAACATATCTATCTCAAAGACTAACAAATGTCTGTGTTGGTCCTCCTCCATCTTGCAGCAGCCTTTTATACCATCGACCATGGTATCCCCCTGGGGAGGCTGTCTGGGATGGGGATCGGTGGCCTGGCTTTTTCCTGGCTCCGTTTCTTCCTAGAGGACCATCCTCTGAGAGTGCAGCTCAGGGAGATTATGTCCACCCCTTGGGCTCTTAATTGTGGAGTCTTTTGAGGATTGATCATCTCATTGCTGTTTAATATGTATATGAAGCCCCTGGAGGAGATCATCAGGGGTTTGGGGGTTTCATATCACCAATATGCGGATGACACCCAGATCTATTTCTCCCTTCTGCAGTGGATGCCGTCCCATCCTTTGAGCGTTGCCTGGATGTCATGCTAGGATGGATGAGGGATAACAGGCTGAGGGTGAGGCCAGACAAGATGGAGATCCTGCAAGTGGGTGCCCCTAGTGTCTGGGGGTTGGGGGGGTCTCTTTCATTTGGTGGGGCTACTCTTCCATGAAAGATGAGGTTCACTTCTTGACCCTGTGCTATTGATGGAATCTCAGGTAGTGTTGGTGGTCCAGGTGGCTTTTTTCCATCTGAGGTGGATCACCCAGCCAGGTCCGTCCCTTGACACTGCGGCCTTCGTTACGCCAGTTCACATACTGGTAGTCTCAAGATTAGACTACTGTAATGCTGTTTATGGGGGACTGCCCATGAGGCTGCTACAGAAACTCCAGCAGGTCCAAAACATGGTGGCCAGCTTGCTGAGCGAGGTGAAGAAATACCAATATAATCTCCCCTACACTGGCTGTCTTGCACTGGCTACCAGTCTGTTTCCATGCTAGCTTCAGGGTGAAATAAATAAATAAGAATTTTCCTGTACAGTATTTAACGCTAAAAACAATACGTATAGAAATACTAAAAAAGAATCAAATAAATATCGCTTTCAGAAGCGGTAAACAAAAGCCACACCAAAACACATTTAGAGCAGTAGGGGAAAACAGTCCCATTTGAAAAAACCCCACTCGGGCAGTTTTGCCTGCTTGTGGAGGGATAGAAAAGCTGAGTCCAGCCTGGCCTCGGGTGGGAGGGAGACGGTGGTGGACCCAGAGAAAGGCCTCTCCTGATTATCTTAACTGCCGAGCAGGTTCATAAAGGGAGACACAATCCTTGTCTCAATCGGTGCAATTTGCCATATCGGGCCCACTGTATCCAGGTGCCCTGGAACTTGTGCCTCGCCTCCTCCTGGGGGTGCCCACTCAGGGGAAGTGGGTCAGGGAAGCCCCATGATATTGCTTCCGACAGGGTGCCTGCAGGAGGAGGCAGGCAGCAGAATTTGTGCTGCCGCCCCTCAACACCTGTGGCTCCAATCCAGCAAACCGTACCAAACTGCTGAACTGTGGTAAGAGCCCATCTCTACACAACATGTTTTAAGGCTTTAGATGTTGAAAACCAGTGCTTTGAATTGTGCCCAGAAATGGGTAGGCAGCCAGTGGAGCTGCTGCATTAGTGGGATTATGGGATCCATGTAATTCGCTCCTGTCAATCTGGCTGCCATATTCCGGGCCTGTCAAAGTTTCCAGACACTTTCCAGAGGCAGCCCCACACAGAGCATGTTACTGTACTCCAGTCGGGATGTAAACTAAGGGCATGTGTTGCTGTGGCCAGAACAGACCACTCCAGGAAAAGACCACAGTGGGTGCACTAGTTTTAATTGCACAAACGCACTCCTGGCCACTGCCGAAACCTAGGCATTCACATTCAGAGACTAATCCAGGAGCACCCCAAAACTGCACACCTGTATTTTCAGAGGGAGTGTAACCCCAACCAGCACAGGCTGCACCCCTGTCCTTTGATCTGCCTTTCGATTGTCTGGATTATGTTTCAATTTATTCGCCCTCATCCAGTCCATTACTGATACCAGACACTGATCAAGAGGTGATACAGCTTCCTCAAATTTAGATGGAAAAGAGAGAATAAAGTTGGGTGTCCTCCACATACTGATGACACCAAACCCTGGATAATTTCTCCCAGCAGTTTCATATCGATGTCAAATAACAAAGGATACAAAAGAGAATCCTGACACCAGCCAGGGTGTCAAACAGGAAGCTCCAGCACCACCTTTTTAGTTCTTTCCTCCAGGAAGGACTGGAGCCAACATAAAACAGTGCCGCCGAGTCCCATCCCAGAGAGATGGGCCAGAAAGGTACCACGGTTGATGGTATCAAAAGCTGCTGAGAGGTCCAGCAGAACCCATAGAGACACATACCTTCTCTCTAGAGTTGAAACAATGATGCAATGCCAAGGTGACCCTCTCCTATGCGGGGGTGGAGGTTGAGTGAATGTTCAAATGTGGAACAAATCTCACCAGCCTCTGTGATCTGACTGGATGACTGTACCAGGAGTTGACATTGTTGCATATAAAGAATGTGATTTGGTGAGTTGTGTGTGTGTGTGTGGGGGGAAACACTTTGCACACATTTGTCAGCCATTACAATGTCCTGGAGTTTTTCCACAGCATTGCCACGTTTCAGCCCAGATTTGAAGAGAGGATCTTCTTAAAAAAAACACACACACCATTGTCTTCTGATTCATGGGGAGGAACTGTAACCTTATTCCTATCAATCTGTAACAAAGTAAGTTATTATATATGTTCTTATTCATTCTAACCATGCAGTGTTAGCTTAAAATACTATTTAAAAATTTTTAAATGTAAAAATCAGAGTCTGATGGCTGCTTGACGACCTTAATTTAAAAAGATGAAGAAAAATGCAGAGGGGTTTGCCCTCCACCTCCTTTCTGGATGGATGATCAGTCCCTCAATCGATTTCAGAGACAAAAACCTGTTGTTGATTAAACCCAAGCCCTGCCAGAGTAAATAGTCAGAAACAGCTCTTGGACTTTCTCACTTGCAGAGCTGAGAGTTTGCACTCACACCGACTCCACCACGTTGTCTCTGGTCGCTGCCACAAAAGAACGATCTTTGAAACCCTGAAGTTTTGATCATCTGTGCAAAGCATTTTGCTTAGCTTTTGCAGCTGCCCCAGGAAACATGGAAAAACTAGCAGAGCTGAAGGTAAGACGTCTGGAGCCTCGGCATACCTCCCAAATTCCTTATTCCCACTCAACCTATGCTCTTTTTAAAAAGTAGCTTATTAGCAGATTCATAGAATGCTTTGTTGTTCTAACCTCAGCTGTTTGCAGGGAAGCAGAAATTCTTTAAAGTTTTGATTGGACGTCTGTCTGGAAATGATTTCAAGATTTTTAGATGGAAACTAGCGCCAGATGTTTGCAGGAGCCTTGAATCCTGATTGTGGTCACATTAAAGATACACGTTGTTGCCTAGCAAACACAATAATTTGGCATGGACTAAATATCCTATTTATTTTACTTTGAAACATATAAGCCAGCCTTCATCCAGCTGGTGCACTGGTAACAGAGTATGCAGCATTTTAAAGACACAAATGCATTATAAAAATGTAGTGCTATATGACTTAGTCAAGCAGCAAACAGAAGCACAGTTTAAAATTCAAAATATAAAATATTCACTTTATTGGCTCACTTATTTAATTGTAGGTTTTTAAATTGTTATCTTCCAGGCAGCGCTTGCTTTGTCCATCTGCAACATTTAGAATGGAATTCTGTGCCTTTTCATTAAGAAAGGTTTTTACTCTGCTATGGATCTTGGACTGTTAAATGAGAATCATTCATTTCAATATATCTTTTTCAGATTGTATCAGGTCTTTGTAGCCTGGACTGGGAGTCAGACAAACGTTATCTCTTTTAACTGCAGATCTTGAGTCTCACGTGGATCAGGAGGCAGGCGACGTAGCAGCTTCTCTTTGCAGCTCTGGCTTTGATATCCTTGCCTGTTCTTCAGCAAACATTTTTTTTTGTGCTAAACTGGGAGTGTTTCTCCATCAACCAGTCAGATGGATAGCCAGCTTTGTTCTTGCATGCCTTTCCATTAACTGTAAAGCTCCCAGACTGTTCAAGAAGCTTGCTGCTGGGCTGCAAAATTTTTATTTGATTAATACAATGAAAAGTTATACCGGCACATTAATGCTAGAAGCCCTTTAAACTCTCCATTGCTCCTACCTGATTTTATTAAAAATTATTTCACCATAGGTTCTACTTCTATTTGCATGAAGGTTTATGCATTTAGCTGCTGTTTGGTTGAACTGCTATTTATATGAAGAGTAGCTGCTTTCTAACAACTAGTGCTGGAACACAGTTTTCAAAGAGGTGGTCATATCTGTTTCAGCATGTAGGTTTAAAAGCAAACACACATGCACATTAAGACACTTTAAAGACTAACAGGTTTATTTCAGTGTAAACTTTTATAACTGCGGTCCAGGTTCATGGACACTGCAAATATTTAGCAATGGGTTTCTGTGAAGTATACATGTCGGGGTACGAATCCAGGAATTTCAAACACAGAAAATGAAATTTCAAAGAAGCAATAGCATTATTAATGAAGAAATAATTTGTGATAATGTTTATTACGCAAACAACCCAGTTACTGCTGAGTGATTGTTTTGTCAGTTGGGTGCTGGTGTGACCTGAAGCCAGAATCAGTAACTTTGTCCATACACAATGTTTGGAAAGAGAATTGCTTAGAAAATAGTGAGCTAACAACCCTTGTATGTTCAATTTGTTTGGCATCCTCCAAAATTTGTGGATGTAACTGCATAGGCAGTCTCTCTTGCCAATCTTTTCTTCTTTTTCTTCTTTTAAATGATTGAAGTCCAGATTAGTAACAGAGTTATCCTGGGAGACTAAAGTGTTTGAGAAGTGGTTTTGCGTGTTGCCATTTCTGATATACAATTGGTGTCCATTTGTTTTCTTGCATGGAGATGGTATCATTTGTTCTATGTAGAACGCAGAAGGGTCTTGTGGGCAAAGGGCAGCCTAGGTCACACTCACCAAGAAATGCATGTCTCTTCTTCTGATAGCAGGACTTCACCCCTTCTTTCTCCACTTCTTGTCCTTTTATTCTGCTTCATCTGGAGGCAATCCATTCAGAGGAGCAGTTAGGGTGGCAAGTTGGCCGGGCACATCGCCTTGACATTTAAGAGAAGCCTTCGTGTTCTGGTAATCAGCTGCCAATTCCTCCCCTCCTCCCAAATTGTGGCTGACTGTTGGTTGGTGTGCCTTTTCACCCAACCTCTTCCTCCTTTCTTTCGCCTTGACATTTAAGAGAAGCCTTCGTGATCTGGTAATCAGCTGCCAATTCCTCCCCCAAATTGTGGCTGACTGTTGGTTGGTGTGCCTTTTCACCCAACCTCTTCCTCCTTTCTTTAATTCAAGTTGCTTTTCACACCCTTCCTCCTGTCCTGCTCCATCACTTGCTCACTTCTTCCCTTCCTCCTTCCACAGAGGCTGGCAGCACCCAAGTGCTTGGCTATGAGGATCTGGGCATTGTGAGTGGGACTGGATGCCACTGCAGATCACCTATGTTGGCAGCTGAGATGACCTTCAAGGGGAGCTCCACCTGTCAGGCACACGGGTCCTGTAGCATGGCTATGAGGATCTGGGCATTGTGAGTGGGACTGGATGCCACTGCAGATCACCTATGTTGGCAGCTGAGATGACCTTCAAGGGGAGCTCCACCTGTCAGGCATGTGGGTCCTGCAGCAGAATCAGAGCTGAGGAGGGGCACGGGAGAGCAAATGGCTGGTCATGACAATGCCAAGGTTGGGGACCACTGCTGTAGCAGGATCAGAGCTGGGGAGGGGCACAGGAGAGCAAATGGCTGGCCATGATGACACTCTGTCACCTGAGCAGGTGCCTCACAGTGCCTCAGGGATGTGCTGGTTGTGCTGTGAGCCCCAGTCTGACACACATGTTTGTAAATCAGTGTCTGTTGACATTTTTACATGATTTTTACAGTCATATGTAAAAATGAAGGTATATAGTTAAATGTGAACCACTTAAGATGTGGGTGCTATACTTCAAAGTGGCTGAGGCAGCTGTGGTGTGAAGAAGACAATTTGTTCTGGAGATGGTGGCAAGGGGAGATCACTGGTAATGTTCACATTATTTTTGTTTAATTTTTACACCACCTTTCTCATCATAGGAAACTCAAGGTGGCTTACAGCACTGGTTCTTAACCTTGGGTTACTCAGGAGTTTTGGACTGCAACTCCCAGAAGCCTTCACCACCAACTGTGCTGGCTGGGGTTTCTGGGAGTTGCAGTTCAAAAACACCTGAGTAACCCAAGGTTAAGAACCACTGGCTTACAGTCACTTAAAACCACACAAGAATCACCATTAAAGGCAGCATAAGAAAAAAAAACCCACACAAAACCTCCACAACATAGCAATATTCTGTATCATAAGGTGGGGGACACACACTTAAAATGAGTGTACCTAAACTGATTTTTTTCTTTAAATATAATAACTGAGGAGGACACATGGATGCCATATGCCAGAGTTGTTACTTATAGCTTAACAATATTTAACTATCAAGCTGAATAGCCTGCAGTTACAACTCCCCCTAGGGGGAAATAATGATCACAATAAATCCAGTTAGAAGAAGAGTTGATTCATATCCTTCCTGTCTCTTCCCTCTGGGATCTCCCTTTCTGACCTCCCAATAAAACGGTCATTATACTTCGCTTTATTCCTAAATGCTTCAAATCCCACCCGGTGGTGGTGTCTGTATCACATAGGACGAGGATGGCCAAAATATCTTTTGCAATTCAAGCTGCGGTGAGGATCTCCAGTCATTCACAGCACAGCAGATTGTGGGGCAGTAATNGGGGGGGGGGGGAACCACAAACTACAACAGGGACTTCAATAATTTTTCTTTGGCTCAGGAAAATATTTCAGGCTCCTGACCTCAAACATGCAGGCAAAATTGACACAGAGTATGGTGGGTGGGTGTAGTGCTAGAGACAGGAATGCCCTTTGTCATTTCCAGTCAGCGACAGAGAGGACATCTCCTACCAACAAACATGTTTACTCTATAACCCTTTTGTGTTTTTCCATCAGTTCTTTTTTCTTTCCATTGGCAAAAAAAGATAAGGAGGAAACGATAGAAAAGCTATGGTTGCAGGGGACCTTAGCCTGGAAGTATTCATACATATCACACCTAAATACTACTACTAAGAACAGTGGGCTGTCAAGCCTATTGTGACTTACAGTGAGCCTTTTTATGGTTTTCTATGTGATGAGTGTCAAAGATCCAGGGATTCTGGGAGGCACACACTAACCACTCAGCCACACTACCCTAGCTGCCCTGGTGTGGGTGAAGCCAGGAAGGCTAAATGGGATGAGAGGTGGGGAAATCCATCTGCCCAGCACCCTCCCAACACCTCAGTCTCACTCGACTTAGGCCCTAGTCACACGAGGGAAATGTTATGTAGTTATCCACCAGTTACGTCAGCATTTCTTTTTCCTGGTTATCCAACGAAGAATCAAGACCAAGACATTTTCCCAGCTGGCAGTGTAACTGCAGAACATTTCCCCATCACAAGGAGGGGTGTGTTATTTTGTACCTTTGTATTCCTTCCTAGGGACGTGGTGGCACTGTGGGCTAAACCGCAGAAGCCTGTGCTGCAGGGTCAGAAGACCAAGCAGTCGTAAGATCGAATCCACGCGACGGAATGAACACCCGTCGCCTGTCCCAGCTCCCGCCAACCTAGCGGTTCAAAAGCATGCAAATGCGAGTAGATAAATAGGTACCATCTCGGTGGGAAGGTAAACAGCGTTTCGTGTCTAAATCACACTGGCCATGTGACCACGGAAAGATTGTCTTCGGACAAAACGCTGGCTCTATGACTTAAAGAGCGGGATGAGTGCCAATCAAGACCAAGACATTTTCCCAGCTGGCGGTGTAACTGTAGAACATTTCCCCATCACAAGGAGGGGTGTGTTATTTTGTACCTTTGTATTCCTTCCTGGGATTGCCCCTGTGCATGACCTGCCACAGTTCTTTTCAGAAGGGCCTAAGTAGTGCTTCCACAGAGTTTTGAAAAAATCCACGAGATTAAGTGCTTTGACTCTTACACCAACCCTGCAAAGTAGAAATGCCACCACACCTGTAAGGCAAAGCCTGGTGTGAAGAACCACAAATCCTCTTAAAAAACTGAACAACTATATGAAGAACTTTTATTTTTAATTTAAAAAAAAAAGAGTGAAAAAGTAAAAAAAAGGGGGGGTTCAAAAGCAGTGTCCCCGGTTACAAAAACAGTCCAAGAGGTTTTGGTTAAATAAATCATTTAAGAGCTTAAGGCTTTTAGCACAGGGCAATATTAGGCGAACGCTACAGAAAGTAAGAAAGCTGGCTAAATTATTATAGTACTTACTGTAATTCAGCCTATCCTCAGAGCACACATAAAGTGCAGAATAGCAAATGAGCATAGCATTTCTCTTGAGAGGTAACTAAGCCACCAAAGTAACTTCTGACACCATTTTTAAAACTTCTCTTGCTGGATTCTTCCAGCCAGGCACCAAGTGAGCACCAGAGTCCATGATCCTTCAATTTCCCAGTTTCTTGACAGAGTACTCAAATGGTTTACCATTCCCTTCTTCTGGGGGCGCCCTGGGGCTGTGCAGGCTGGCTCTTCTGGTATGCTATTCAGCCAGATACCTAAAAACCCAAGTCATTTTGTTTTTCTCTCATGATATGCTGGGTTTTATGCCTTGCTAATTTTGTAAAAGAATAATAAAAGAGTTCTTCAAAGCTGGTCATCAGCAGGTGGTCAGCACAGAAATTATGCGCAGGCCTTGAGGAGCAACCTTTGCCATATTCCACTTTATACTCGCCAGCTTCAAAGTGGCTTCTGTCTAATCTTTTTCTGGGAAAGGTCAAGGTTTGTGGATCCAGTGAGAGCGTTCGACTTTGTATTCCAGCCTCTGCAATCAGTAAAAATAGTTTTAGCATTTTTCTCCAACCAGATTTGAAAGATGAAAGCTCAGCACACCATAAAAAAATTGAACGTTGGTGGATGAATTCTTCAGCGTGTTTGCATTAAACGCTAAAGAAACATAAACGGGCAAAAGAGCTAAAAGGCATTCATGTTTTTCTTTTGACAAAAGAACATCCTTCTTCCTATCGTCAGCATAGACCAAATTGCACTTAGAGAGTGCTAGAAATATTCACACTTGAATCTTGCAGCTCAGAAAACCCAGGAAAGTGCATTCAAGGGTCCTGCCTTGGCGGCTCCCGCAACGTTTTGCTTAGCAGTCAGTTCACGCTCTGTCAAATATTTTTGAAATGTGCTTTGTTTTACAGTACATGTCAGGATTTGGCAATGAGCACAGCTCAGAAGATCCGCGCTGCCCTGGAGCCTTGCCAGAAGGACAGGTATTTATGTGACATTTGGGGGCTGAAGGAAAGTGCTATTTTTCACGTGGTTAAATCGGCATGAAAGCACCACAAGTAACTTAGTCCCCTGCAATAGCTTCCAGCCCACTTTGCAAACGCACAGCTTCCTACCTTAAGAGATGAAGAGACTTGATCGCAGAGGCATTAGAACAAAGAAGCTTTTCTTCCCAAATTTCTACTCCCAGAACTGTTTCTTATTAACAAACAAACAAACAAACAACTGATGGGGGGCGTGTACACAATATGCAGCCTCTCCAAACCACTTACCCTAAGAATTTATTCATTCATTCATTCATTCATTCATTCATTCATTCATTCATTCATTCATTCCTAATCATTTCACCCTGCCTTTCTCCTTAAAAGGACCCAAGGAAAATATGGAAGAATGGCTGCCTCTCTCAATAAAGAATTGATTGGGGGGGGGAATATATAAAATTCTCATGGAAGCTCAAAGCCAAGGGACCTGCAAAATGTCAAAAGGAATAGATGGATCATTTAAAAAAAGTGTAGTGTCAGCTAGGAGCAATGTAGCTTTTCTAATGATCACAGGAAATTTTGTGTGTGTGGGGGGGAATCCAGTTTTATAAAATGTTTTTAGCAAATCTTTTGTAAAATGAAATATCATCATGGTACTTGACACCAACCATATTCAAGATAATCAAAGTTGTATCTCAGTGCAACTGCTAGAGATGTAGAAAGGGTTGTGCGGATTATATGCCTGTTATGTTTGAGCTGTGATAGAATTAGGACCTTTGTGGTACTGTACTTTTTATTGTGACATCGTGAATACAGATTATGGGCTATAGTACTGCAAAGGATGAAACTATTAAAAGGAATTTTTGGAGGAGTATGTTGACGTAATAATCATCATTGTGTGCCATCAAATCGTTTCTGACTGATGGTTTCTGACTGAGTTTTCCAGGTAGAGAGTACTCAGAAGTGGTTTTATCATTCCCTTCTTCTGGGGGTGCCCTGGGACTGTGCAGCTTGCCCAAGGCCACCCAGGCTGGCTGTACTCCCAGGAGGCACAGTGGAGAATCGAATTCCCAATCTCTGGCCCCAGAGCACCACTAAAGCACTTAAATTATTTAAATTATTAACAGCTGCTGAAATGTCTGTTGCTATTTGGTGAGAAAGTTGCTTCTGCCATTGCAGATTGCTTTTGTAGGATTCAAGATGACAAGTTTAACGCTTGTACTTACATGCTATGTTTGACCACATGTGAAGATAAATTGATAAGGAAATTGTCCTTTTTTTGTTAGTGTTTGAATTATAAATCTGAAGGTGATGTTCTATCTTTCTCGTTGTTTGCATTAGTAAAAGGAGTAATCGTCTTGGTATTTTTACATTTTAAATATGCTTCAGCAATAACACAACAAGGGGGGGGGGAAACACATTCTTATAACTTATCATCTGTTTTGGTTTAGAATAACCCTCAGGTCTGTCCGTATGGTCTGTATGCGGAACAGCTCCATCGTCTAGCGAGGCACCACTGTATGCTTCAAGAATAACACAACAAGGGGGGGGGGAAACCACATTCTTTAACTCATCATCTGTTTTGGTTTAGAATAACCCTCAGGTCTGTCCGTATGGTCTGTATGCGGAACAGCTCTCCGGCTCAGCATTCACCTGCCCACGGTCCACCAACAGGAGAAGGTATGCACAGGTCTGAGGAAATCAATTAAAAAGGAGAGGATATGGAAGGAATTGCAGGGAAGGCAAGGTGGGGCGGAACAGGACAATTAATTACATTTACTCTAGCCCATTGCTAAGATGTCATTGCAATGTTCTTCTACAGAGGGAAAGAGCTTGCCATTAATGTGATTAGCATTCAGCCTCGATTCCAGAGAAAAGGTCTGTGGGGCATGACATTAGTTTGAATATAGTATTATGAAGTCTGAATTCTATACTTCCCTCCTCTGTCACCTCTGTTTTCCCTCCTTTGGGGCGATGTGCACAAAAAGCAACAGCCGTAATAATGTGTTACTTTTAAAGCAGGCTTGTGTTAAGCTCAGAAGAAGGAGAAGGGGCAAAAAAAAGGCCTTGTTGAGTCAGGGTATGAATTTTTTTATTTGGTAGGGAAGGAGACTGTGTCTTGCAGAATTTCAGTCTTATGGTTTAATTGCTTCTAGGATAAGCTTGCTTTCTTCCTCTCTTTTGCCTATGTCCCCTCGTGGGTCAGAAAAATTCTGGAACTATAGGTTTGTGAACAGTACCACATGTCCTTTTATTAACTTTGAGTATGCGTATTAAAAGAGAAGACCAAGATAAGGATGCTCAAGGCCAAAAGAGTCCCTCACCCAACCCCAGGTGCACATTTCCTCCAGGTCAGAGCAATTCTTTGCCATGGAAAGTGGTACTAAATTAGTAATGGCTGCTTACCAGTGTCCTTTCCCACTGTCCTCAGAAGGTCATGGGAGGTGGTGTTGTGGGGTTTCAGTGGGCATGCTGAAGCTGCCGTGTGTGGCAAAATAGGGAACAGGGACTTGACTTGTGTTGGATGGAAACCCTCCTCTGAAAACTCCCAATCATAATTTGGGTTCATAGTTTACACTGGATTTAGCCTTGAATCTGAATGCCCAGTTTTCAGCAACAGCCAGAAGTGCCTGTATAGATAAGGCTAACTGCACTAGGAGATATCTAGTCTGACCATGGTGACACATGCTTTTGTTGCACCCTAGCTGGACTACTGTAATGCATTCTATGTTGGGCTGCCTTTAAAAAAAAAGTTTGGAAACTCTACCTGGTGCAGAATGTTGCCGCTGGATTGTTGACTACAGCTGGTCCCAAGGATCATGGGACCGCCTTGAAAGAACAGCTTCATTGGCTACTGGTCCGTTTCTGGCTTCAGTTCAGAGTGCTGTCTCTGGCCGATTAAGTCTGACATGGGCTAGCTTATGTCAAAGAACACACTCTTGCAGATGAGCGTGCTCTGATTTTAAGATATTCAGGAGAGCCCCTTCTCTGTTCCATGTATCATTAGAAGGCTTCGTATAGGGGATGCCAGAAAGAAACCTTTCATTTGCTGCTCCCACATTCTGAAACTCAGTGCTCAGGAAAACTAGGTTGGCTCTCTTTCGGTTGTCCTTTTCTAGAAGATCAAGCCATTTTTCTGCAGAAGAGCCTTGATATAAGCTGGTTTGTGCTGAAAGAGGCTGTAATGGGATGCAGATTGTTTAATTATTTATATTTCTTACATTTTAATTGTACTTCTAATTGATTCATTTTTATGTTTTCGTTGAGATTCTGGTTTTATCTGTATTTTATTATTTTTAGCTGCTAGTGTTATTTTTAGTGGCAAAGTGGAAGTTATAGTTAAGCAAGCAAATAGATAAATCATAGGCCAAGATAACTGGTCAGCCTTAGAGCTCATTTGAAAGCCAGAAATAATGGGATTTGATTATAACAGCAATTATAACAGAATTGTAATTGGAACCTCCACAAAAAAAGTCCCTTGTACTGTTCAGCCTGATTACTTTGGGCATGCAATTAAGGTTTGCAGTATATAGATCTCAGACTGGGTACCAGGTTGACATGAATGGAGGCGATCCTTCAATTAATATGGACACAAACTGTGTAGTTGTGTACTAACAGTTCAGATATGGCCAGGAAATGGAGTGACAACAGTGCAATCAGTACACTATAGGAGTCACATGATCTGACGTAACAGTACTCCAGTGGCCCCATTTTGTAGCTGTGGGAGCTTCCAAACCATTTTAAAAAGCAGTCACCATAATCTGACCTGGCACATATATAACTGAAACAAGGCCTGTCCCTCCAACGTAGCATCATAGGGGTTGTGCCATCCAAAGATGATAAAAAGTGCCACGATCATCTTTTATAATTATAAATTATAATTTCTCCACATTCCATTTCTTTTTGTGCTGTGTCCTTGAAACTGTAAAAACAAGGAATTTGCTGTTAATTCAAATACTAATGTAGCAAATCTTGGGTTTTTAAAAAATTAACAACAGTAACTGCAGTAACATACGTTGGAAAGTTTGTTTGCAGTTGATGTGTTTGATTGTAATTTGTCAGTGATGTTGGAATACTTTTCCGGGGGTTAAACAAACAAACAGATGATCCCTGCTTGCTCAGGAATGGCCCCTAACTGCACACGCTCTGGAATCCATCACTTAAGAGATAATCTAATATTCAACAGCAGGAGGAGAAATGCGTCCCTGTTCACTGATTTTGCCCTCAGAAGATGGCGAAGCAAGAGAAAAGAGAAACGTGATCCCCAGGACTGCAGAGGCAAAATAGCACATTATAGTAGAACTCAGTCAAGCGATTTTAATAGGGTTAATGAGTTCAAAGCGAAATTAGGCTGTTGGAAAAATATTCTCTTTTATACTAGTCATAAACAAGATGCTTCAGAAACATTGGCGGCGGTCAGTATGTTACAGGAGAGAAGAACCATATTTTCTTGGGTGCAGCTTAATTTTCTTATATGTTACTAATATTGTACCACAGAAGTAACACTCTGAGGGAAGACATCAGGGCTTCTCACAATGGACCACAAACATGAAGCAGTTGTGTATGGAGGGAAGGCCTGATGTGGAAAGATCATTTCCAGCATGCTGCAGGAATCCAAAGGGACAGGCAAAAGCTGCTGCTGAACCCCAGGTCTGAATTTAAACTGGGCCGCTGGTACAGTGTGAAAACAGTGTTACAGTGGCATGCCGTCAAGCTGACTTTCGGCCATCCTTTGTAGGATCTCTGAGGTATAGAGCACTCAGAGGTGGCTTGCCATTCCCTTCTTCTGTGATCACCCCTAGGATGGCTGGCTTTTCTCCTGAGAGGTACAGCGGAGGAATCGAACTCCCAACCCCTTGGCGCTGCCGCCAAGCATGCAACCCTGACATTATGCAGTCCTTTGGTTTTCACAGAACTGCTGCCCTTCAGTCTGGAGATCCAAAGCTGCCCTTGCCCAGTACAGAATGTGGACAAGGCAGCTCTCCCCCAACGTGGCTGTTAGGACCTCCCACTGAACACCCCCTGCAGAAACAGGAATGTGTGATCATTCGGCATCTTTTGTCCTTTGATGGCGCCCTTGCTCTGGTTTCATGTCAGCTCATATTGGTCACCAATCACTGGCTCTTGGGGAAAATAATCGTGGTCCTACTGGGACCCTGGAGAGACCCTGCTGTGCAGAGACGCCAATATAAGGCTTGATGGAGAAACATTATTCATACTGTATCTTCAAAATGTCCCCTACGTGCCCCATCTGTTCTGGCATAAGATGCAGTACTTAGCAGAATGTTGCTGTCTGTGGGGGGAAAGTCAATAAAGTGGTGAATGTTTTTAATATTTGGTCATCCAGGCTTCCCACCGTTTCTGCGTTTGTTTTCTCCCTAGCTGGCTGTACAGAATTCTTCCTTCCGTGTGCCACAAGCCCTTTCAGCCAATGGCTCAGGGTTACCTGACCCACGACTGGGATGAAACTGAACCTGAACCCAATCAGGTAATCACGTCAGATGCGAAAGCAAACGGAAGTTGGACAATGTTAAAATAAAATTTCGAAAAAGGCTCTGTACCTGGGAAGGCTAGTGCTATGCCACACAATCAGCTCCTGAAAAACCTGCATCTAGTCCTGTGTTCTGGGCCAGAATTCCATCTCTCTTTGCAATCAAATGTAGAACTGACAGACATAGGTATCTTTGCCATAGCAGAGAAAACTAGAGGCTTTAGTAATTGGTAGGTCAGGGGGCAGACGAAGAAGAAGAAACAACAGTCACGGGTGGAGCAGAATCAAAGGAGACGATCCTGTGGTGCTGGCCCTGATGGCAAAGGGTGTAAAACAGAGAGTGGAAACATGAAAAAAAAAGTCAAGAAAAAAAAGTTAACAAAAATCTGAAAAATTTGAAAAGGGGGAAGCCTCAATCCAAGCCTTCAGTTGAGCTTGTAATTCTGCCTCCAGGGCTCTGGCGCCCCATGTTTCAGTCCCTTCTGCAAACCAGTCAAACTGTTTAGTTCACTGCTTTAACACATAGGCCATGGCAAATTGCCTAGTTTTTTAAAAAATGCAACACAATAAAATACAATGAAATTCAAGTTGGGTTCCCATTCAGATTTAAAATACATTATACAAATTTACTATAACTGAGCCCAACACATTATTATTTGCAACATGCAAAGAGCTTAATGATAAAATGGTGATTTTTATCACCAGGAAGGGCCCTGAGTAAAACAACCAATCTCTCACCTTTGTTAGCAGCAGAACAGGTAGACTTTGTTTTTATGGGTATGGTAAGCAAACCCTGTCACTCAGAATGCGACAAATGTGTCCTTGTCCAAGAGTAGGTTTGTCTTGATCAGAGAAGCTAACAACTAACCCAAAAAAGTCACACTATTTTAATTCTCTGCAACAACCCAGTAAGGTGACCTATTCCTGTCTCCTCTTATTATCTTTTTCTGATGACAGGGCTTAAAAAATACTGTGTCAAAGAATCCATTGTCAATTACTAATTTTTTAATTAGATACTGTGACAAACCCAGACCTACTGGGATCTGCCACACAGTTACACTAAGCTGCCACCAACCATTCCCTTTAAGAAGTCACACAGACCAGGGATGGATTTTTAAACAATAAAAAGAATAAGGTTTATTTTAAATACAAACAGGGTAAATAAAACAATCAGGTGAATAGATAAAGTAACGTGGCTTATTCTCACACACACAAGCATACAGTTTGGTTCACCTAGAACCTTTAACTTAAAGCACAGACCCTGAACCCATCAGTTCTGGCTAACCCACAGACACCTGAACTTATCAGGTTGGTACTCTGACACACAGTAGTACCCTGTCTGACACACAGACTCCCACAACAGCTTCTTCTTCCCAGCTGCTGCTTCGTCACAACCCAGTGTCTCCCAAACTTCTCTCTCACCACACAGGCATCACATATTTATACAGTACAGCCCCTCCTCCTGATGTCCCGCCTTCCACTCCCCATAGGATGGAACTTTCCCTCCAAACCCATGACAGACAGGTAACATCAGTGCTGTTATGTAACACCTCCCCTCTTTAAAAGTTGTTTTGTAGGGGGAAAGCTAAAAGTGCTTTTCACCAAAAAAACAACCTGCATAAAATACACAACAACATTTATACATACCATATTATACTTACTCATACTTACATTCTAAGTTAAGCATAGCAAATAGGCATTTAAACATTTACCATATACA